GAAAGGAAAGGAAAGGAAAGGAAAGGAAAGGAAAGGAAAGGAAAGGACCTTGGAAGTCTTCTAGTCCAGTTCCCTGCTCAAACAGGAGAAACTATACTATTTCAGATAAGTGACTAAATTATGAACTTTGAAAGAAGGATTTTAAAAGACTAATGGAAGTTGATTGTCATGTCTAATCTCCTCCAGTATGTGTACTAGCCATTTAGCATTGCTTGAAGGCACAATACATGACATCATCTTCTCACCACCACCAGCCCACCAGGAAGGCAACTTCTACTTTCTCTTTTTCTGCTGCATGTTTTCTGATTTGAATTGATGCAAGTAGTGATTTCTAGTTTCCATGCTCTGTAGGCAAACATCTAGATTCTACCTGATTACCTACCTGTCATCTGTGGCAGGAAGACCTCTTCAGAGTTCTAATCACACTTTTGGCCATCTGGGTGACGTTGGGCCAGTCATATTCTCTCTCAGCCCAACCTACCTCACAGGATTATTATTATTATAGGAGAAGAAATAATTGGTATGTGTGCCACCTTGAGTTATTTATAAAAATAATAAAGTGAGGATATTTTTGTGAAATTAGTTTAAAAGATTAAAAAAATAATTTAAAAGTTAAATTAAAGTGAAGTATTTTTATGAAATTATATTTTTGTTTTTAATGAGTTAAAACTGACAATTTCAGTCACTTAATTCCTAGAATCCAGCACTATAGTGCAGAAGGGCTCTAAGAAGCAAAATGACTGGAGAAGCAGGACAGATGCTGTTCTGAAATTCAGACAGTTTTCTAAGCTTATTAGTTAACTTGCTAGGAATACCCTAAAAGACATTTTTCTGAAGAAAAAAAGTACCATTGCAGTACTATAAATTAAACTATAAAATACTTTTAATTTCTTATGAATAAAAAACTTTTCTAGTTTTTATAATACATATAATTTATAATACCCTGTTTCCCCAAAAATAAGACATCCCCTGATAATAAGCCCAATTGGGCTGTTGAGCACATCCCTCCCGAAAATAAGCCCTCCCCAAAAATATTTAAACGCAGAGCTGGAAATCAGGTAAGACGGCAAGAGGAACCCCATCTTGCTCCATGCGCTCCAAAATAATAAGACCTCCCCAAAAATAAGGCCAAGCGCTTATTTTGGGTTCAAAAAAATATAAGACAGGGTCTTATTTTTGGGGAAACATGGTACATAAATATACTTCAGAAATAACTTGAAATATTAATAAAGCTAGATGACCGCATGGTAATCATATTTATTTCTTGATTTCAGGTGACTGTTACAACCATCGGTTATGGAGACAAGGTGCCTCAAACGTGGATAGGAAAAACTATTGCATCTTGCTTTTCTGTATTTGCAATATCATTTTTTGCCTTGCCTGCAGTAAGTTGTCCAAACTTTTTTTAGTTGTACATACATATATTAGGATTGATTTTTATTAGCCCCTATGTAATGTAATATTAACTGCACATTAATTTTATCTACTTCTTTTACATTGCACTGAACTCAATACAGCTTATAAGAGGTGAAAATTTGTTATGTTGACTGCCATAAGGGCAAAAACTAAAATATTAATTGTAAAAACAAAATAAGGAATAGTATTGATTTAGATTTAGGTTGTCACCCAACTCCAGAATGACTCTGGACAGCTTACATGAGTTAAAGAGAGGAAGGAAAAAAAAAATCAAAAACAGGAAACTTAAAAGCAATAATAAACATTATATCAATAAAATATGTAAACAGTAAAACATTATCGCTTCAAACTTTTCTGAGCATTTGGTAAGATATACCTAGATCTTTATTTAAGTATGCTGTAATTTCCCTGCGATCTTGCGTTCCATTGCTGTCATATACATGTTTACATACAAACACACACTTACGGTAATATAGAGTAGAGATAGATAGACTCTGCAGTTGTTTTCTACCATCTTCATTTAATTTGAGGGCAACATACGCTTTTGATAATTCTTAAGGAGGAAAAACATTTAATATGTAAGGCTCTTGCACAATTAATCACAAGAAATAGGTTTAAAATTCCTTGACGTATTCAATATATAGTGACCTGCTGCCTCCCTGCTTATGTCACTTTATTTAATTCCTGAGAGGAGGGTTTTCTGAGTGGGCTTCCTGAGTGGAATTTGTTCAAAAAGGAAACTTAAACAGCTGAGAAGTTGAGGGTGATCAAGGAAATATATTAGCAGCAGCAACAACAACAATTGCACTGTTTTGTTGCCATTTTGCAGAAATAATAATTCAAAGCACTGCCAAAACCAATTCAAACGATCCTGACATTTATGTATTCATTTTGTTACCAATCCCAGAATGTCATGGATTTATTTATTTAAATATATGTTAATATTCATATATGTAAAATATATTACGATCAGCAAGAATAAGACCCACTTTTTATGCTATGAGTTTGCAACATTGTGCAATGAGTTTGCAACGGTGCAATTCTTAAATGTGCAAATGCTAGAGAGTATAAAATACTGGAAATATTCCACCTCAAATGGAGCTAATTGGATATTTCAGGAATGATGCAGCTGTCAATAAACATGCCCAAATTCATTAAAATCTCAACCTTTGCTCCAAATTCCATGGTAGCTAAATTTACCACAAACCTTATATTTGAAATGGCATTTATGTAACTGATTGATTGGTTTATTCTACTAATTTCCTCTGTTCCTCAGGGAATCCTTGGTTCTGGTTTTGCTCTGAAGGTACAACAGAAACAAAGGCAAAAGCATTTCAACCGACAAATTCCAGCAGCTGCTTCTCTTATTCAGGTGCCTTCATGCTTAAACACTAGCTTTCTTATATGTATTACAACTATTAAAAGGGTAGATTTGGTGTTATTATGTCAAACGTTGCTCAGAAAGATTATTATTTTATTTTTAAAGTAATGAAACTGGGCTGATGATTTTTCAGTCTTCATCCAGTTTTCATTTGCAGCTACTGCAGAAGGAAGCAATGTGAGCAGTGGTGAAATCTTCCCCGGTTTGTCACCGGTTTGGTGCATCAAACACACATTGCGTGCATGCACATACACAGTATGCGCCATACGCGCGCTGTGCACAGAAAAATGAGACTTGGGAAGGTAAGTAGAACAGCAAGGGGAAAACAGCTGTGCCACGCAATTTAGATTCACTAGAAAGTAGGATTTCCTGCTTTCTAGCGATTTTAAATCATACGGCACAGCTGATCATCAGAAATACCGGTTCGCACTAGCTGGTAGCTTTTTTTTTTACTACCAGTTCGCTGAACTGGTAGCTTTTATCACAACCAGTTCACCCAAACTGGTGCGAACCGGTAGGATTTCACCACTGAATGTGAGGCTTTGAGTCATAATTGCATTTTTTATTTGGACCTGTTCAATAACTAAATATAAAGTATGCTCAGTAACTCATTGCTTCATAAGTGGCGCATATTTTTTCTTTTATCCCTCCACTCTTCTGCCTCTGTTTTGAAATTTCTATAATTCCTGGTTTAGGGTATTCTTTAGAGATATAAAAATGAATATCCATGCAACCTAGAGTAATATCTGAGAGATGCATATCTGTTTTCTTGCTAACTTCATCCTTTGTGTGTTTCTAAAACATATTTTAGACAGCCTGGAGGTGCTATGCATCAGAAAACCCAGATTCTTCTACGTGGAAAATATATATTAAAAAGCCATCCAGAAGTTATCATCTGTTGTCTCCTAGTCCCAAGCCAAAGAAAATAGCGATGGTGTCGGTAATGAATACCTTTTTGTTTTCATTTGACATTTTTTATTGAATAACTTAATATTTAAAGCTGGATGGAAATGAAGTTCTTTCCCATCAAATAGGCGTATTGGTACATAGCCTTGTTCAATATTTTGACCAGTCTCTCTCCAAAATAAAGCATCCATGCAGAAGATGTTATTTTTCATGTAGCATTACATTCTGGAACATGAGAGACTGGTCAGCCTGCCTACCTGACATGACACTTTTATAAAATTGTGGAGAGTTTTGTGGCTTCCATCTCTGTTCAGTGCTTCAAAATGCATAAAAACTTCTGTTGTTTCAGTGACAAGCAGAACTGAGGGTGGGGACAATTTTATCCTTCAAATTTTCTTCAGATTTTCTTCAGGAGAATCTGCATCAAGCATATGCAGTTAGTGAAACTGTGAGGAATTTAAAAACGGTAACAAATGGCAAACTGTTATTTTACAATGTTTTGGAATATGGCTCAAGGGGATACAATATTCCTCCTGAAATATTTTGCTGTTTATTCCTTCATGGAAGTGCCCTGAGTCCAGTAAATGGAGGTACAGTATAATCTACATCTGAATACCACCTAAATACATTTGTAATTGAGCCAGCATCTTGAAATATATTCAGTAGAATATACATCACAGGAATACAGAGACATATGAAGAAATTTCGTTTCATTTGGGCTCTTTCTAGAAGCTTTGCATTTCTGGCAATGCAAAGCAATAGATCTGGTAACTTTTTAACTATATGCATAGTTAACAGTTACAGTTACAATTACATAGTCCCAACAGACTTAGGAGACCTTTTACATGATTTATGAAGTCTCTTCCACCCCACACTTTGGGCAAGGATAGGGGAAAATAATATCTTTTTAAAGCTTCCTGCCTTGGCAAAGAATTCTAATTAAGTAGGTAGAGAGGAATTGTGGATTTTTCCCTCCAAAAAACTGTTCAAATAAGGTAATTCTGTTTTGTTTATTTTTATGTGTGATTTTAGCTCTAATTTAGTATTGATATTTCCCATTTAGAATTTTTTAGGGGAAAAAGATCAGGGGTGAAATCCAGCAGGTTCTGGAGAACTGGTAGAGGAAATTTTGAGTAGTTTGGAGAACTGGCAAATACCACCTCTGGCTGGCCCCAGAGTGGGGTGGGAATGGGGATTTTGCAGTATCCTTCCCCTGGAGTGGGGTTGGAATGGAGATTTTGCAATATCCTTCTGCCACGCCCACCAAGCCACGCCCATCAAGCCACACCACACCCACCAAGCCACGCCCACAGAACCGGTAGTCAAAAAATTTGGATTTCACCATTGAAAAAAGATGTAGATAAATTTGTTATATTCGTCTTTTTTTAAAAAAAATGTTTCCAGAATGAAAACAGGATAGAGGCATTGGGTATCTAAATACTCTGAGATGGTTTAAAGACAGCACTTCAAAATAAATAAAAATAGCTACTAGGAACCAAAGAACCGAACTGTAAAACACTGTGGGTCTTTGGTAATGTTTATGAAACTGTGTATGTTACCTTCAGAGAATCATAGAATCATAGACGGAAGGGACCTAAGGGCTCATCAGCCCTCTGCACACTGCACTTCATGTGCTTCAATAGATGATTATCGATGATTCCACAGTAGAACTCCTGAAACTTCCATCAGTTATCCAGGAGTTCAGTGCCATTCTCAGGAAATAATATTGAGCTGGGTAAACAAGTAATTCCTCATTAAGGACATCTGAAACAATTTAATTTTGTTATAGTAATGGATGGATGGATGGATGGATGGATGGATGGATGGATGGATGGAAGGAAGGAAGGAATAGTGAGTCAAGTCATCACCTCATTTAGACTTTATTAATGACTGTGATCATGTGATGTAAAAAGCTTCCAGTTTTCTGAATAATTGTAGTGAAGATCCATGATAATAAATGCCAGTTGTAAAGCAGAAACATGTGCCTTTTGAATTATAATGGTTAGAACATTTTGCTCTTTATTTACTGATTGGAATCATCTCACTAGATTAAAGAAAATGGAAGTTAAATTGTATAATAGCAATAGCACTTAGACTTATATACCGCTTCACAGTGCTTTACAGCCCTCTGTAAGCGGTTTACAGAGTCAGTATATTTATTCATTCATTCATTCATTCATTCATTCATTCATTCATTCATTCATTCATTCATTCATTTTGTATGCCACCCCTCTCCAAAGACTCAGGGTGGCTCACAATGCATTTAAAATCATTATAGAAAACATTCAAAAATTAAAAACATTAAAAACATTAAAACTCATTCACACCATTTATGGCCGGATCTTGCCGGATCGCAAGAGCAAGCTCAACGGCCCCAGGTCAGCCGGAAAAGCCAGGTCTTCACCGTTTGTCGGAAGGCCAATAGGGTGGGGATGGTCTGGACCTCAGGAGGTAACTGGTTCCAGAGAGCTGGGGCAGCCACAGAAAAGGGCCTCCCCTGCGGGCCCGCCAGCCGGCATTGTTTAGCTGACGGGACCCAGAGGAGACCAACTCTGTGGGATCTTACCGGTCGTTGGGAGTTATGCGGTAGAATATTGCCAGCCCCCAACAATATTTGCATACATAGTAATTTCTCTAGTTTTTTTCTAATTTTAAATTATCCTATAGTGATGAATTAAAGGATTGGGGTTTGTTTTTTAAAAGAATATTTCAATGCTTGTTTTTGTTAGGTAAAAAAGAAGAAAACCAAAACAGAAAAGGATAACGGATCACCCTCTCCTGATAAGATTTTACCTGTTCCACAAATCACATTTGACCATGTGTTGGAGGATAGGAAAGCTGATATTTATCATATGGATCCCTATGAAAATTCTGGTAAGACTTTCAGTTATTTTATTTGTTTACTAGAAGTAAAATGACCATTAAATTGGAAAGACTCAAATACAATTTGCATGCATTAAAATAAGGAGTTACAATTTAAACCAGATCAAGCCATGTTATTAGCATCTGAGTCTTAAAATGTATATTGTAGTTGTAATAATGACTTCAACTCCACACATCTTAAAGTTGCTAAGATTGAGAAACACTGGTCTAAAGTAATGTAGTAATTCAATGTTGTTATGTCATGTATCATTTTCAGCATTTTTGTAACTGGTTGCCACTACCCATATGAATATATTTTTCAGTTGCTTCCAGTCTAATGCCAATGACTTACAATTTTCTGTCTGTCTGATGATATAAAGATATAATTGTGTCTAAGGATATCAAATGGAAAGGTTTTATGGATCTGTGGTTTTAATAACCCCAGCATTAATCTGCAATAGAACATATAATTTATATCTAGGAGGTTTTTTTGAACAAGGGTCCCTTTAAAAAAAAAAAAGCTTTAGCTTGTGAAAATTGATTTAAAATTTTCTGCCTCAATATTATTAAAATAGTATCTGGTCTCATCACTCAGGTATTTGCATTTAGGTATTTAAATTCAACAAATTACAATATACATCTGCAATCCATTCCACTCTGAAAATACATTCATACAATAATAGTTCAATTCTTTTTATTCAGTTTTAGAACTAAGTACTTTAAATCAAAAACTTTAGAAAACACTTTTAAAATCACATCTTTAAAGTGCTGGTGTGCTATATATATATGTGTATATATATATTTGTTTATATATATTTGTTTTCTCAGGTTTTCGCGGGTGTTTGTATGTAGGTCTTTGGTTATTCGGGTCTTCTCCCACGTAAAATTGGAAGTGTCTTGGCGACGTTTCGACAAAGTCTCATTCGTCATCTTCAGGCTGGTGTTCTCGGCTTCGTGCTTCCAGGAGCAATGTGAGATCGCAGCTGTCTCTTCCTTTTAACTGCTAGTGGGGGTGTGAGCTGATTGGGTGGGAACTTGGCTGTGTTCTGATTGGGTGGAGGTGTGTTCTGATTGGTTAGGGGCTTGGCTGTGCTCTGATTGGCTGGGGGTGTGTTCTGTTTGGGTGGGGGCTTGGTTGTGCTCAGCTTAGTCTGAGTTGCAGGGAGATTTGAGCTGGTGAGCTGCGTTGTTGTTGTTTGGCTTCGTGTTTGTGGCCGTGCGAGCTCTTCATGGTGGGTGTCAGTCTGCTTCATGTATGGATTGGAGGGGTTTAAAGTGGCTAATGATGCAGCTGTGGTCTGGCTTCTGGTCCTTGGTCGTGGCTCATTATCAGTTCATTATCATTATCAGCTCATTATCACTATCGCCAAAACTGAACACTTTAACAACAGAATAATCAGAGAAGCCATCGAGATAGAAAAACGCCCACACAGCATGAATAAACGAGACGATACCTCCCGCCTACCAGCCATTTGGAAACCCGCCCTTATTGACAAACGAGTCCCTAACACGACGAATGACACCAGACCCACACTCACGAGTGCCACACCTGATGTCACCATCACACATCCACGCAGAAAGCAGACTCAAACCCACACTGATAATGAGCCACGACCAAGGACCAGAAGCCAGACCACAGCTGCATCATTAGCCACTTTAAACCCCTCCAATCCATACATGAAGCAGACTGACACCCACCATGAAGAGCTCGCACGGCCACAAACACGAAGCCAAACAATAACAACGCAGCTCACCAGCTCAAATCCCCCTGCAACTCAGACTAAGCTGAGCACAACCAAGCCCCCACCCAAACAGAACACACCCCCAGCCAATCAGAGCACAGCCAAGCCCCTAACCAATCAGAACACACCTCCACCCAATCAGAACACAGCCAAGTTCCCACCCAATCAGCTCACATCCCCACTAGCAGTTAAAAGGAAGAGACAGCTGCGATCTCACATTGCTCCTGGAAGCACGAAGCCGAGAACACCAGCCTGAAGATGACGAATGAGACTTTGTCGAAACGTCGCCAAGACACTTCCAATTTTACGTGGGAGAAGACCCGAATAACCAAAGACCTACATATATATATATATATATATATATATATATGTCTATGTAAGTTTTCACGGGTATATATGTGTGTACAGTTAATATTTCGGGTTTCTTCCCGTGTAATTGGTAGCCATCCCAGACTACCAGCACCAGATTTGAAATAGTAACGGCAGTTACAGCAAAAGACCCTTCACATAAGCCTGATGATGGCAGATGAGATTCTGTCGAAACGTCGCTTCTACCCTTTTAGGGATATGTTCACAATTACACAGGAAGAAACCCGAAATATTAACTGTACACACACACACACACACACACATATACATACACACACACATACATATATGTATACACATCTGCTTTAGATTTTAATATCTGGACATTTTGTATCCCTTTTATTTAAAAACATTTGACAAGTTCGTACAGATATATTGCAATTTTGAAAAATATGGAGTAGAAAACAGTTCATTTGAATGTGTGTCAGGTTATAAATTCACATCTAGTTCTGGATTTCTGACTAGATTATGCAAGTCAAAACATGTTAAAGCTCTCTTTCATTGCTTTCTGGGCACAACTGATACTAACCTTTAATTGGGATTTCTAACATTTAAAAGACAAGATGTTGACTCCAGTTTTGGAACAAAAATCTCCTTTCCTTCTGACATCTATTCTTTTTTCCTCCCTTCTCCCTGTCTCCTGTTCTCTTGAAACTCTTACAAGTATACAGGAGAAACAGGCATGTTAAAAATTTTTGGTAAGTTAAGGAAGCTATCTTTACCTATTGCATGCTGAATTCTGAATCTTAACATTGCTTGCCATAATTTCTATACACTCTCACTACTGATTAACTTAGCATGAAGTGCAGGAAGAAAAATTGGCAACACTTGCCATCTTCCTATTATTGTAATTCACCTATTAAAGGAGGAAAACAGCTTATTTTTAAGATGACATGATAAGTACCTTTCTCATTCTTATAATTGTAAGAAGTAGGTACGTCAGTTCAGTATGTTTATTCAGTGGATAAGGATCCAGTGCTCTTGCACCAAAAACATTTTCTAAGGAAGCAAAAGTCACATTTCCTCTTTCCAGCTCCTTAAAGGTAAAGGTAAAGATTCCCCTCGCACATATGTGCTAGTCATTCCCGACTCTAGGGAGTGGTGCTCATCTTCGTTTCAAAGCCGAAGAGCCAGCGCTGTTTGAAGACATCTCCATGATCATGTGACCAGCATGACTAAATGGTAAAGGCGCACAGAACGCTGTTACCTTCCCACCAAAGGTGGTCCCTATTTTCCTACTTGCATTTTTTATGTGCTTTCGAACTGCTAGGTTGGTAGAAGCTCCGACAAGTAACAGGAGCTCATCCCATTACACAGTTCCTTAATATGTTCCAAAACTCAACAAGGAGACATAAGGGCCTGGATGCGGAAGGAGAATTATCTCCTACAGATTCCTTCAATGAAATAAATTTCTTCAGGGTAAGAAGAGCCCTGGATGCTATCACTGCCTTTCCCCACCCCCTCTTAATTTTTTAATGTTAGAATGTTAACATTTGTAGACCATCCCAATCACTCCTGTTCTGGGTGGTGTACAACAAAGCAACTAAACATCAGCATGCTACAAACATTAAAAAACAATCACCTCTCCAATCAGTCATCCAAGGTCAAAGGTCTGGTTGAACAGAGCAGTTCTCAAAGCCTTATGAAATGCAAGTGGGGGTCAGACATGAAAGCTACTGCAAAGGCCTGCGATCCATGTATCTCTCTTGATGTCTGGACAGAGGAACAGGGTTACCTTGAGCAAGGCAGTTCCTGATATTTGTTACAATTGTTGTAGCACTGTTTATTAGAATATGCTAGGCAAGATTGTGTATTTTTATTTGGCACTTGTATAATACACAAATGACACAGTTGATGCACGTGTCTTACTAGCATTGTTTTAATTGAAATGATAATTTAAAAACCTTCTTTCTTGTTTTCTTAATTGTGACTTTGATACCGTAATGGAGGCCCTAGATCACTTTCTCCTTCTCTGTTTCCCTGTTCTGTCCACTCCCTCTTGTCCTTTTCATCTGTTTATTCAGACCGACAGCATTCCTGGACATCCTTTACTACAGAGCAACCATCTCCCACTTCTCCAGGTAAACTCAGCTACTCTTTGTTTTCATTCTCTTAACCCGCCTGATTCAGAACCTGGAGGTTGACATATTTAGTACAGATTCCCTGGCATGGAAATCATCCTGCACAGTCAAAATTACTCTATGCACGGCATATTTCAACCTATGTGTTTCTGACAGATTATCTCTGAGAAAGTACATATTTTGATAGAAAAAAAGATTGCTTATCTCTGCTCAGGACCACATTAAAACCCTTATAAGCCCTAAGTAGTATCATGTTGTGATAATAATCTAGACGGTGTGGGTTATAACAGTATTGCCAGGATCTCTGTTTATCATCAGTTTATTGGGAATCGGTCACAGCAAGTAATAAAGTTTCAGCAAGTGGTTAAGGCAGTGGATTAGGAGTTTGTAAGCCCTAGACATAGTGTCTATACCAGTGGTGGGTTTCAAAATTTTTTACTACCAGTTCTGTGGGTGTGGCTTGGTGGGCGTGGCATGGCTTGGTGGGCGTGGCAGGGGAAGAATACTGTAAAATCTCCATTCCCTCCCCAATCCAGGGGAAGGATACTGCAAAATCCTCATTTCCTCCCAATCAGCTGGGACTTGGGAGGCAGAGAATAGATGGGAGTGGGGTCAATCAGAATTTTTACTACCGGTTCTCCGAACTACTCAAAATTTTTGCTACCAGTTCTCCAGAACTGGTCAGAACCTGCTGAAACCCACCTCTGGTCTGTACCTAAAGTATTACAAGTTACTGGGCACATACAATAATATAATTTATTAAACACCCCTAGTTTAAGTGTAATATTTATACTTAATAAAGTGTTATGCTTTTATTTTTGTCATAAAATTCCACATGGTAAGCTTGGTTATATCCACAATTGCTGAAGCAAAATATTATATATCTTTTAAGGTTCATTATATTTCTTTGCTTTTGTTTAATACATAGAGTTCTTATATCTATCTGCTTTCTATATCGCCAAAGGGGAAAACATAGTTTACAAGGACAGACATTTATACCATAATCCCAGAGCATAAACAACCATTAAAAAACCCTCATGTTCTCCTTTTCTTTGAACGCACCTAGGCAGGGATACCATTTTCTTCGTATTATAAACTTATATTTGATTCTGCCTTTTAATTATTCTCTTTATATTCCTCAATATTTTACAGCTTTTTCAATGTTTTGTAGTGATTAGATATAGATAACCTTTACTTGCCTGTTTTTCTTCCACAGTTAAAAGGAACTCTCCATTTTTAGAGCCACATACAGGACCATTCATTAGAACAAACAGCTTTGCTGATGAACTTGACCTGGAAGGAGAGACTTTGCTGACTCCAATAACTCACATCTCACAGTAAGTGACAGAATTCTGAATACCGTTAACCCCTGATTAGAGTGCAGGCTAGAAGATGATAAACTATGATTGTAGAACAAGGTTGTATAGAATTTCCCAGGTAGGCCTATGGAACAAGCTTGATTTTTATCGTTGCATCCTTGCATATCCAACAACTTGTGCAAATTATCTTTAGGCTATTGTTTTTAAAGTGAAACTAATGTTTTGATTAGACAAAACAAAAACAATCTGTGTTGCTTTCTGATGAAGGACATGTAATTAAGATTGAAAGTGCATTGCTGCTGACTCACTAGGACAAACTAGTTAAATGGAACAGACTGAAATTATGTCTTTTCTGACATCTTACATCAGTTTTGTAATATTCAAAATCCTTTGGCCAAGGCTTTTGTCCTTTGTTGAACACAGATTTCTTTAATCTATTGGGGGAGATTAAAAAAATGGTATTGATTACAAATCATAATAAATGAATAAGGGGGGAACATATAGAAACTTGCCTTAGATGTGATCATTGAATATTCTGCTCAACTTTAATGAAAGTCTCTAGGCTGCATTTGACTAAACTGCCCTCTCTTACACTTTCGGATTGACCTTATTAAAATCATAAATCTATTCTTAGACACTGAAAATATTACAATGAATTAATTATCTATCTATCTGTATACAAATAGAAAAGTGCCCACCTTGCATAGATTACACATTTGCAATATAATACACAGAAATGATTACTGTTCAAAAAATTCGACATGATGGAAGTCTTTCAGATATCGAGTTAACAATATAGTAGCATGGTTCTAAAGACCTTGGTCTAGAAAGCTTTTTTATGGTCTGGTCTGAATATTCTTTCATTTAATTCTAATTCGTGTCCTGCTAAACTTCTGAAAACCAGCATTTCAAAATTAACAAGTTGCTTTCTTATAGAACATTTTATGTAAATATTCTAAAGTATCTCATGATATATAACCCAAGCATCAGCTCAACCTGCATGAACTGGTTCATATGTCAAAGTCAGATCAAATGCAGCTTTGTACAGCTTGATCCATGCTGTGTAAAAGGTGCATCACCCTGAATAATATTTTATAGGCCCAGCTGCAGCTGGTAAGAATAATGTGGTGTTGAATTTTGGACTGCAGCACTGCATATAAATTAATATGCCCCATGGGCCTGGAAATGAGCATGTAGGAAAGAAACTGATTCCATAACCACTAAGGCGTGCACAAGAACTGCTGTGTGGATTGGAGGCATGCGCTTGGTCAAGAGTATCTGCAAACAGGTTTCACCTGAAAGCATAAAATTACTTCTCCTTGACAGGCAATATAAATCAACTGGCAACAATATTGATTACCTACTGCACCATTAGGAAACTTGCCTGGTATAAGTCAGATTAAGGAATGTGTTTAAAATATCTGTTTCCACTTAGTTTGAAAGGATTGATAAACTTGTGCAGTTCAAGCTTGTCAATGGCACTGCGAGTACATTGGGTATCTGAAAAAATAAGGAACAATAAACTGGCAGCGGCCTTGTGAAAATGTCACGATTTAAGAGATCTCCAGAGTCCCTCTGCTTCAAACTTGGGTGTATTTATTAAGCATATGGGCTGCATATTTGGAAAGGTGAAAGCAGAAGAATCTATGACATGATTCAATATAAGACTATCGGTGCAAATGCGCAGCAATTTGTGAGTGTGTTTTCCTGATTTTGGAATGTGGTATCAAGGAGAGGCTTATTTTTATACTAATAGGTCTGTATTTCATTTCTGACCTCAGCTAGTTGCAACAATTGTTACCTAGATCTATGAAATTCACTTGACAAAGTTCTGTTATTATATTCTGCTCCAAAATATTTCCCCAATTCACTATGTTGCGTTACAAGAGTGCGGGAATCTTCATTTTGTTGTACTGATCAATTAAAAATACTTCTTATGATACAAATTTATCTCATGGAAATTTCATATAAACTACACATAAATTTCATTAATAAGTAAAACAAATATCCATACGCTTCTATGTATAAAAGTCATTGGGATATACAACGAGGAAGTGTTGCTTCTTCTTTGGAGCAAAAGAAATGATACACATGACAGATAGTTAGCCTAGGCTAAGTTGTCTTAGAGCAGCTCAATGACTAAGATGTTTCCCGTAATGTCATGGTCAAATCTGCCTGGCAATTTTTCCCAAGTTTATTTCTCTTACAAAAGACCCATTTCTTTTTCTCCATTCCTTTCAGATGCTTGAAAATTTCTTTCAAATGTCTCCTAGTGGAATTTTTGAGCTTCATTAATTGGTGGAAATGATAGAGACAGCCACTGGTAGTATTGTGGTTTTCTATTGTTTAACTTTCCATAACTCAAAACACGCTTCCCAATCTGAGAAAATTCTTCCTCCCTCTCTCCCTCCCTTTTTTATCCTGCCCATCTCACCTAACACTTTATGGGAGGTGCTCCGTATAAGGTTTCTCCTTGGAAGTTAACCAAAGCACGAGAACCAAGAAAAGCTCCAAGCTGCCAGAAAAATGATTGCAGAGATAGATGGTTGGTATACATATGTTTGCTGCTCTGCAAGTAAACTAAAGGAGCAATGTGATTTTCCCCCTTAAAATATTTCTGCAAAATATATGAGAAATAATTGGGGGGGGATTGCACTGCTAGAATGCTCTTATCTACTCCATGGTTCCTCTCTCATACAAAGATTTTAAGGTGCAAGCAAAGGCATTTTTTCTTAGCACTTCCCCCATGTAGTAAAATCAGGGGAAGCAAAAAGAGATCCCATATTCTCTATCAAATAATCCCCCAGATACACCCCCCCCCCAATATTGTTCATTTTCAGTGCAGCTAGAGCCTCCAGTATGGAAAACAAGCAATATAAATAAGAATTAAAAGTCATTATTTCTCCTTGCAAATATTCTTCTAAAAATTCCCAAGAAGGAAACTTGTTCTTTAGGTATACAAATATGTATGAATTTGTTTAAATAGGAAAGAAGAACAAGTAATTTTTCCCACTAATCCACAAATGCCTGAAGTCTAGTCGCATATTGTAAATACTAAAACTTCAGGAAACACAAAACACACCTAACTTTAGTACTCCTTGCCATTTGCATTTTTCCTGGCCTATTATATCTCCTGTGGTGGAGTGGTGCGGTGGCCTAAAGGTGGAGCTCTCACCTCATAATCAGGAGGCTGTGAGTTCAATCCTAGGTAGAGGCACAATGAGAATATATCTGCTGAACAAAACTCTGCATTGGCGACAGGAAGAGCATCTGGCCATTAAACACTCTGCTATCTCCATTCAGTTGCCCAGACTCCATCCCACAAGGGATTATGGGGTCGTTAAAAGAAGATGATGATTATATCTCCTGTGGTCTTAATTTGTTGAGTGTAAGTGAAAATGTGGCCATCTGCCAGGGAACAAATAATAAAATATGCGCAATGCAGTGGTGGGTTCCTCCCGGTTCGGCCCGATTCGCGGGAGCCGGTAGCGGTGACGATATGACGCCCACCCTGGTGTTATGCTGACCTTATATGTCGGTTTTTTCGCCCAGCTGAGAGGTGCGGCAGAGCGGATTGCCGCACCTCAGCTGGGCAGATTCGCAACGCGCTTGCACGAACCGCAAGTTTGGTGTCCTGCAAGTGAACCGAGCATGCGTGCGGCGATCGCGCACAAAAAGCGCGACCAAAGAGGCGATTGCGCACAAAGCGCACACACAAAGAGAACCGGTAGTAAAGGTAAGTAGAACCCACCCCTGACGCAATGTCATGATATAAAAGCTACAATTTATATACTTTCATCTTGTATTGCAACACTGGTACGTGATGGTGGCATGTCATTTTGGAATTAGAAGTCATAGAATAACAAGAGTTGGAACGGACCTTGGAGGTCATCTAGTCAAACCCCCTGCTCAAGCAGGCGACCTTATATCATTTCAGATAAGTGGCTGTCCAGTCTGTTCTTGAAAGCCTCCAGAATTATTGGGGATTGTTACAGTGTGACTTGAGTGGAATGTGCCATGGTATACTGCAAGTAGGGAATCATATTTTAATGCTTCCACAAAATAAATCTTATAAATAGTTACGATAGGCAGGTAAAGGATGATTTAGAGTACCTCTCCAGTCATGCTAGATTTCAATCTGTGATTAGAGTGGTTTTATTTGCTTTATTTACACGGGGGAATTTTTCAAAGGCTCTATTCTCATAATTCAGGCTCATAATTCAGAAAACAGATATTTCTTTTTGAAAACAAAATATGTGAGTTTAAACGCCCTTGCTAAAATAATGTTCTTCATATTTTTCCACAGATATTTTTTTTAGTATGTTTTTCATAGCCTCATTATTAATTACAGAAACGATACATCTTCAGCTAATAGGACATTTTTGTTATTTTATGTATACCAACTGGCCATGTCTATGTTCAGAAGCTAAGTATTGCCATTAATCAGAGAAACCTAGGGCTGTAGTCTAGAACGAGGAGTTTAAAAACATCAGAAAATTCATCACTGATAACCCATTTCTGCAATGTTGCGCCTCCAAAATATGATTGGGTCCATGAAAATGCCAGGATTTCTTTTTATTTATATTTATTTATATTTCATATTTCTAAACTGTCCAAAGAGGGGCTATCTTTTTACCTTTCTTTTTTACCTTTTGTTATTTTTAAATTTTCAAATGAAGCAAACTTGGGGAATAGATTGATTTCCTTTATGACTTGTGGACTGGTTATCTATGGGACTGCCTCCTACAAATAGAATATTTTGTCCAAGATTTGTGCGCAGAAGTTGTACTGTATGCTAAAAGTCTCCATCCCTCATGAGATGTTGTGATGCTCCAAAGTGAGAATTTTCTCTTAAGGCAAGGGTGTCAAACTCACAGTGCATCACAGTGGCATCACGTGATGTATTGCGACTTTTCCCCCCTAAACTGGGCGTGGGTGTGGCCAACGTGTGATGCATCTGGCTCATGGGCCGTGAGTTTGACACCCCTGTCTTAAGGCATCACATATCCCCAAGGTGA